AAACTGAATCGCAATCAGCTCATCCAGCAATATTCAGTCAGAACTCTCTTGTGCAATATTTCCAAAAGAAAACACAATAATCTGCTTTTAGTTAAACAAATGAGTCAGACAAACTGACACTGTTTTAAATATAAGTGATTTTATTAATACATTTTATAATATACTTTATTTTAATAAAATAATATTTTTAGGAATGCTATGTTTGTATGGAAAAATAGGAAAAACACATTTAGACCTCCAGTGGATTTAGTTTATAATGGTTAAATCACAAACAAAGCAATAAATAATAATAATAATAATAATAATAATAATAATAATAATAATAATAATAATAATAATAATAATAATAATAATAATAATAATAATAATAATAATAATAATAATAATAGATTTAGCCAATGGCTGATTTAACCCCACATTTGACCTAATCAATATGTGTGAAAAGATTTAATTGACCTATATGTACTTAATATTTCCTTAAATCTTTAAAGGTCTCAATAAACACGGTATGCTAATTTTTCTTTTATATATAGAAGCTGTTGCAGTGCTATAAACAAGCGGCCTCGACACCGTGAGTTTTATAGGCAATAAACTTTAATTAGAAAGCCAACAGGAGTCACAACTTTTGCTCTGCTCTCCCACAAGGCCATTCTCGATTTATTTGCTTTAGTCTCTTCCTATTTAATTCATTTCAAAAAAAGACGCACCACTGTAAAGCTACAAAAAAAATTATTTTGAAATAATTTAAAGCTTGACTTGGTCTGTTTGTGCCTAATTTATCATTCGTAATAATATTAATAATTATTTTTTTTTCTTTATTTTACTGATTAACTCGGCACGTCTCGTGCACCTATATCCTCTTAGGACGCATGCATATGCTGAGCTAAAATCAACAGGCTCTGCAAAATGACACAAAAGGTTTTCGAATAATTTTACATATTTATTTGAAGAGATATTAAAAAAATGTTACATTAATAAAAATATCCTGAAAGAGTCCCGTGTTGCAAAAATCTATTAACTCACCTTATTGTCAGGATTTTTTTCCACACACAATATAAACTGAATTAAAGAGATTAAGTTTAAATTAACAGACATGATTTCAGGAAAGATTTTGCAATTCCATTGTTTGGAGAGTCGCTGGGAAAAGGTTGAAGGTTTCCGAAGATGAAAGTGGGGAACCCAGTGATGAATCCGATGAAAAAGAAGCCAAGGGAGAGAAAACGTAAAAATCCTGCAAAGAGGCGCCCTGGCAGGGGGACTGAGCATTGTCCGGGCCTGTTATTGACTCGCAGATGGGTGCTTGGTTGGTAAAATGTTTCTGGTTCTGCCCGTTGTGTCCGTTTTGAGGCTGCTGGTTAATCAGGGTGTTGTGGTGGAAATTGTAACGCTCCCTCTGGATGGGCGCGCCGCCTTCGCCGCTCTCCTTAACCGGCTCAAACTCCTCATTTACGCACGATGGATACTCCCCGTCGCTGTTCCTGTTCTCCTTACACTGGTTCTGCCTTTTGTGTTTCATCCGCCTGTTTTGAAACCATACCTTCACCTGCTTCTCCGTCAAATCCAACAGCGCGGCTATCTCCACCCGCCTGGGTCTGCACAGGTATCTGTTAAAATAAAACTCCTTCTCCAGCTCCAGGAGCTGCGTGTTGCTGTACGCGGTCCTCAGCCTCCTGGATGCAACCACCAGCTCAGCAAGACCAGCTGTACTCTCTGACCTCTCCGGAGAACCTGAAAAACAAAGCACAATGTGTTCAGATAGATCGTGCTAAAACGCGCTGTGCATGGAAACATTGGAGCGCAGGAGAGATTTATGGGTTGGATATGATGGGTCTGCGTGGACAGGACAGGACGCACGGTGAAGATTAATGAACATGACAGCTGCCGGGCCATGTATAAAGTAATCTGTCACTTTCTATTACTGTCAAACATTAGCGCTCTGACGTTGCATCGCAAGTCAGTGCGCTGTTCGATTACATTAAACAAGCTTAAATCAAAAGCTCTGCTGCGTCTAGGAAGGATGCGCATGATCCATGCGGCTCTGAGCGGAGACTAAGAGGAGCCTTTTTAGGCTGAGGGTTATTAATCATCCTGTCTTGCCTTGGGGAGAGAGGTCAGAGCCTGCTGCAGCGGCTGAAGAAGCAGTAGCCTGGCTCCTCTTGATGCTTTTCTTCTCCTTCATCCACGGATACTCGGTGAGCAGAGGCGCAGCCTGCAGCGGACCATGCGCTTTCAATGCCCGTTTGCAACGTGGGTGGACGGTGGGCTTCAGGTCGGGGATGGTCTGCTCGAAGGGGGGAGGAGGAGGAGGAGGAGGAGGAATCGATGTGGAGCTCTTGATTGATGGACTTTGAAAGGCTTCTCCGGCGGGGTTAGTGAGAGATGTCAGGCACTCAGCGAGCGACGGTCGGCTGTTGATGAAACCGCTCTCACGCCCGAATTCGTAATTCATGTCCTCCTGCTTCTGGTTCTGGAGAAGACGCACAGGCACGACGTTTAAATAAGGGATCGGGGATTAACACGAGGTTTAACCTGGCAGTGCTGTGGAGATCTCCGCGCCATGAAGTAGGGATTTCATGGAGACATACTTGGAATTAGACTGTGCTGCTCGTCACATGAGTAAAACCGCCCAATGATAGTTTGGGTGTCATTTTCATCAAATGAAGCCACCGTCCCTCCTGCGGCCGGTTGAGAGAATCTGAATGGGACCGCCTCAGTCTAGGGTCATAGTTACACTGTTTTTGAGGGAGACTGGTGTGTGTGTGTGTGTGTGTGTGTGTGTGTGTGTGTGTGTGTGTGTGTGTGTGTGTGTGTGTGTGTGTGTGTGTGTGTGTGTGTGTGTGGTCTTATTTTACCTTCAATGTGGGGGCAGTGTTTTGTAAAATATCCTACACTGTTGGGACTTACAAGGTACATGTGGGAACATTCAACTGGTCTCCATATGGTAAAGTTCTCTTCTTTAAATTAGGGTAAAGTTTAGAACTAAGGAGTGAATTTGGTTTAGATTAGGGCTTGGGTTGGGTTTATGTTGGTAATGGTTATAGGGTTAGGGAAAGGGTCTGGGTTAGGCCATATAAATGAATGTAAGTGAAATGTCCCCATATATAATTAAAACAAAGCTCTCTCTGTGTGTGAGTGTGTGGTCTTGTTTTACCTACAATTTGAGGGAAGTATTTTGTAAAATATCCTACATGCGAGGACTTACAATACATATGGGGACGTTCAACTGGTCCCTATATGGTAAAGTTCTGTTCTTTGAGTTGGGGTTAGGTTTAGGACTAAGCTGTGAATTCAGTTTAAGTTAGGATTAGGTACATCTTGGTAATAGTTAGGGTTAGGGTAAGGGTAAGGGTCTTAGGCCATATAAAATGAATGCAAGTCAACGTGTGTGTGTGTCCAGGGCAAGGCTCCCCTTCTTTCACCACCACCAGCCCCACCCCCTAACAACAACAAATAATCTCAAACGATAGACATTTTCACCCTTAGATACATTTATTCCAGAGTGATGAATGAATTGCTTAAAGAGTGGAATGATTTTATTTATATTTTGTTTATATGTTTTCAGTCATACAAATTGTTACAAATACAGACAGTGAAAATGCAAAGCAAGGCAAACTCAAATGTGAGGGAAATCCCCAACCCCTTCCTCAAAGAAAAACAAAACAGTAAAAATAATATAAAAGTCAATCTGCTGAAAATAAATTCAAAAATAAGGTGTGAAGTCCTCTCAAAAGTAATACCAAGCTTTGTGATTAATAGAACGATCTGCACAAATGAGGTAAAATATAGACAGTATACAGTTAAATAGTGTGCATAATGTAATAGATATTGATAACACATGGAATTATTTTTTTTTAAGTTTGTTATGAATGTTATTTTCTTTTTTGTTGCCCTCCACGCAGGTTTATAAGTTGTGTAATTACAGATCCAATCGTGGGACAAAAAAAAAAAAAAGTTGATATAGTAGGCTGAGCATTCACTGTACAGAAATAGTTTTTCCTCTCCACTGTGTGAGGGATTGCTGCAGAGTCAACCAAACATTACAAGATGGTCTACTGCAGCTAGTTCATTCAGGAGGAGCAGATTCTGCAAAGGCAATGGCTCAATACAATATTTTTTGCTTATATAAATGTAAATAACTGTCAATGTAAATATTTTTAAGATGGCATGTTGTGAATTAGCATATATGAGTAAAGTTGAAACTTGTCGACATGCTGACCGTATAATATATGTTAACAAATGCTGAATTCTCATAAAATCTGCACTCAATATAATAAAACTTTATTTATGAGACACATCATTACAGTGCTCAAAAGCCTTCTCCTATTTGATTTTTGTGTTATTTTTGTAGTAGGTAGGGGGTTGTTTGGGGGGTACCGCTATTTGCATCTGCTCCTTGGTAAGATTGTCATGTGGTGGGGTATAATTATTGCTAATTATTGAAAAAACAATGGAGACTAAGCATCAACAATTCACAACAATCAGCTTCTTTCTATTTCTTTTATTTCTTTTTTTATATTTTGTGCAACATTGATAAATAATCCAACAATACACTATGACACTATGAAGCTGATGCATCTGATCCCATCCATGAACTGATTGTGGTCAAACTTCTAAAATTGATAAGGAGAAAAAATGTTTACTTTTTTTTTTTAGGATATCATAATCATTCCATATTTTTTCTCTTGATCTTTGTTTATTGTTACATGATTAGGATTATGATGGAAGGATTACACTATGGGTCAAGGATTTTGAGGCATTACAATATTTCTCTAATCTTTAAAAATACATATTAGGGGGGAGGGGGAGAACTTTCTCTTACATACCGACATGACTTTTTGTAGACATACTTCAAAACATGAAATTCTGAAATGGCTTTTAGTTTGCCATCCCTTACTTATTAGTCTCCACCCCATCAAAACTTTCTGGAAGCCCCCTTGCCCATCGACTGTGCATTTTTGGTATGTATGTGTTTTCTGAAAGGTTTTTTCTAATATGATAATCAGTATAATTTAGGCTTTTATAGCACATAGTCTGTGTCAGTGAGCAGGATTTCATCTTACGACTTTTCTGAATGAGGAAGCTTCTGCTGTCCACCCCTCCCCCAGTAAAAACAGAAACTAACACAGAAAAAAACTATCTTGTTAATAGACTTTTGGGGGATCTCGAGTTATTTGGGTGTAATATATTGATGTCATGTGTCATTGTATTTTACAGACTGGGATTAAAAATTTCTATAACTATTATTTCTTTCCTGCTGTAATCCATCTATTCAACTATTCATTTATCCCCCATCTTATTATTCAGTATCAATATTAAGATGGGTCTCTGCCTTTATAATCTTTTACTGTTTGAAACAAAGAAGAAAATGGAAGCAGGAGAGGTTTGTCACTGCAGCGCTGGAGATGGACGGGATCTTTCTGGCTGTTTATTGCTCAGTCTCTAAACAAAGAGCCTGGGTAGCCTTAATGTGATCAATCTTTCCAGACAAAAAGGTCTGACAGCTCCCTGCCAGAGAAGGCATCTGAACCACACAGCACTCCTTAGATCACATGTGACCGAGAAGAAGACAGTCTCACTGACTGGGGATCTGTTTTTTCTAGCTTAAAGATGCTTTTTTTGCAAAAATGTCTAAACATTATAGCTTATTTAAGTCCATGTGCGTCTTGTAAATATTAAACATTTTTTTTGCAAAAGGTGGCATATGGACTTTATAAAGAGGAGCTGAAACTTGGAAGCGCCTAAATGTTTCTTGAAAGGAGCCAAGCAGCTTTTTATTGAAGGATTAAATATTCTTTAGGTGAGTGGGTGCTCATGTTTTCTTTGACTTTAGGAGAATGTGTTCTCCTCTGAAATAATCCATTTGAAAATAAACACAATTTGCTAACTGCTGCTGAATGTTAAATTCATAACATGCATAAAATAATAGCAAACATTTGGTTGTTATAATTTATCTTTAACCAACTCGCTGTTTATAACAGTTAGAGCCAGCTGCTCTAAAATATCCTGCAGTTGAATCACTTAAAACTATATATTTTCCTTAAACTCTGCACACAACATTATTTACAGCTGCTTTGACCCCAAAATCAAAAATGCTTAAATGGACACAGATGTGCAAACAGAGGAATGAGGAAGCAGAGAAAGTTCCTAAAATATTTTCAGCAATACAGAATAGAACAGAATGACAAGAAATGTATATAAGCAAAATAAAAGTCAAACTTTGTACCTTCTAAAGCTGAAATATTATCTTGCTCCTTCTACTCAGAAGCTTTATTTATGCTTTCTGTTTTGCAAGTTCGCCTACGACATGTGGAGGACCAAGAAGAGCTCCGTTTCCCGACTACTTTGGAGACATTTGGGAGGGAAGCCTGCAGCCATGCACCCACGGACGGGGAGTCTTTAAAACAGAAGATATATTTTACTCACTGTGCAGGGAACAGGTGTTATTTTCATCATAAGTAATAAAAACCCAATAAATAAATCAGAAACGACAAGAGTGTGTGTCTGTGTTTTTGAAGTTTGCAAAATTATTATTTTCATGGGAAATTTATACTGATCTACGACATTTTGAACTTAAACATGTGTGATAGATTGATGATTAAATAACTGATGATATAGGCCTACAGTAAAAAAAAATATTGTGTGTTTTCTTTGGCAAAACAGAACTCTGAGGGTGTAGGCCTGTGTTAGAGGTGGGGGTCGAAACCAAAGCAGTTCATAGATAGGATTTTAAAATTATTTTTATATTTACAACTCGTCGAGGCGCAAGTTGATATGTCATTATTTTTAAATCTGAAACAATAATGTGACTTTTCCCCGCATAAAAGCAGAGAAATTACCTCCCCATGTTGAAGAAAAAGTGTAATGAAAAATCTACGTTTAAGGCTGATTCTATGAACAAAATCCCACCCACGGAACCCACTGCTACTCCTGCCACGCATTGCAACGCTGTTGCATAAAGAATGGAGCGCCATTTTTGGCGCATTTACAATTCAGCTAGGCTGGGAGTCATCAGATTACTCCACACCTCACCATAACTACACAAGACATTTTTATCACAAACAGATCAATTCTGCAGAAATGTTTTAGTTGCCCTGAGAGAATAAGATTAGTTCAAAACATATTTTAATTAATAGCCTAGTTGTAGTAACTCTAATAGTGCAGGAGTATTAAAAACTCAACTAATCTCCATTTTCATCTCCAAATTTAGAAAAATCTCATTTTTTTTTCTGTTTTACAAACACTGCTTCCTTGCAGTTCAATTGTGGATAAACTCATCACTCTCATCCCAAACTATATGATGCTGACAGTGCGGCTTGGAGGGGCTAAATGTGCTCAAGTCTCCCCCCTCCTGATCTGCCCCCTCCCCTCCAACAAGAGTCCCCTCTGTCACTAGTGTCATGAGATGTGATGAATAGGGGGGTCGTAAAAGGCCGCTGCAAACAACTTCCTAGCAACTTTCTGTTTTTCTGCAGCACGGCTACGCAAATGGAGAATGTCCAGCCCTTGCTTTGGGGATCAGGCAGCGGGAATGGCATTCAGCCACAGGAACAACACTGTAGCCTATTCCTAACTGAGGTCTGAATGGTGGTGTGTTATCTATGGTTTTTGGCACATGTGAATATCAGCTCTCGTTAGAATATCCCATCAGTGTCCAAGACGGGGGAATTACGCAATGAATGCGCCACATGACCTTTTGCGTGGTGAGAGCAGGGCTAGGGAGGGAGGTGGAGAGAGGAAGCAATTTACGCAGAAAGGAAACGAAATGATTTTCCTTATTATTTAGATTACAAATCCAGAGTATTACATAGGCCTACTCTGGGGATCAGAAGAATTAGATGTCAGCTTTATTAGCCATGATTTATTAAGTCATAATTTATTTAGAATCTACACGTGGTTTAGGGTACTTGTAATTTTTAACAGCAGTCATTGGCGATGAGTGTTTTTTGTTATGAAATAAAGAAAAAAACTCCAGAACACAGTTTTAGATTAGATATGCTGGTAATTCCAAGCGGAATTCCAACATGCATTCCAACAGGAGCGGCGTCTGTGTGCCTTGAACGCATCATCTGCTCTAGTTTCCAAATGAACCGTTGGCGCCCCCTGCCGATCCCCTGAGCGAAGCAGCACTGAACGAGAACAAAGCCTTTACTGCATTATTATAAAGCTTCATTAGGCCTGCTTGAAGATTTGCTCCATCAGAACTACTTTTCAGGTTGAACTGGCCTTTTTATTTCGTTCCTGAGACGGTGAAAATACATTAAATGTAAAATCTCTGTAAACAGAGCCTATTCTCTGCCCAGAGAGCCCAGCGCACAAAAAGTCAAACAGCAAAGGGATGACTCTGGTCTGAGACAGTGGAATTGTCACTAGACGGTTGTAAACTAATTACACCTTTGAAGGCAGACCCATATGCACTCCTGTCTGCTGCACCAAACACCCCCCTCTGTATAATGGGGGGGGGGCTTTGTTGGCACCCCTTTGCATCCGATTTGTTTGCTGGAAGCAAGTTAAAAATGAGGCCTGTGTGTTTCCACGAACCTTTGCTTGCTACGCAATTTTCGCACCTTATGAAATGTCGGGTTATGGTAGTAGGAGAAGGCAGCTACAGTTTATAGAGCAAAAGGGGAGCTGCTGCTTTTAGAGAAAAAAACAGACAAAATAATTGCGCCAATCTGATTTTTTTAGCCACATAAATGTCCTGATATCTTTCAGTAATCAAATGCATCCTACCTTTTAAAAACACTTTACTAAATTGAGCAAAATAAAAAAATCTAACAAAATAACAATACGATCAAATGAGAAAAAAGAAAGAAAAAAAGAAAAAAAAATTAATATATTTCACTCAACAATTAAAATAAATTCACATTATTGCTGACTATGCCTCTAGTTCTATTTTCATCCAACTGTGAGGAATTATTCTGAATACAAATTATTAAAATAGTAATAGATAAATGTATAACATTATTGGAAATATTATTAAAAATAATATGTGGAACACGTTTTGGTTAGATTTTCATCATGTCGCCCACAACAAATTCTTCCACCAATTCATTCAAAGCTGAACATATGGGCTACTTCCTACATAATAAAACAGCAGAAAGAAAAAAAAACGTAAAAATCTTAAAAAGTAAAAAAAAAAATGTACAGATTTTAATTATACAATACATTCCTTACATTTTCAATATCTTAAAATTGGCTCACATCATGATCATTGACATTTAAGCCAGTAGAAGTTTTGAATTTGATTAAAACTTTGAGCCTTTCTGACAAAACAAAAATGTGGTTAAGGTGTTTGTCCATTTTCAATACCAAAAGATTTTTTTATTCAATTTTTTTATTGAATAATTGTAAATAAAATCCTTTGCAAAATAAAAAATTAGGAAAAATAAGCGTTATTTTTCCTTTAAGCTAAATTTATCTTATTGCAACAGGAACACAACGATTTTTTTCTTTACCCAAATGGTAACGAATCACTACCACATAGTTCCAACCAACTACACTTTATTTTGAATCAAATATGTAGGCTACGAATGAGGTATTTCAAGTGTGCACATAGTTTTGACAAATGCATCCGAACATTTTGACACACAAGGCCGCAAAACAATAAGTTAACCAAAGCAAATAGGTAGCTGAAGGATATCTAGGTAGTCAAGTATCGGTTCATGCAAATAATAAACGGCCTACAGAGTCAACAGTATGTGTGCGCAGAATACAAGACATCCAAATTTACAACGTGGCACAAACACAGAAAATATGAAAACCGAGAAACAGGGACACCCGAGTGTTGTTTTAACAACACTAATTTACAACAATTACCGAGAATTACAAGACACCCCCGCCACACACACACACCCTCCCTCTCCTCCCCCCTCTCCCCCCTCCTCCAGCTTTAAATCCAAAGACGCATTAGCTGTCTTTCCGTCTGTCTCTGTTTTCTTTTTTCATCTTCATCCTGCGGTTCTGGAACCAGATTTTCACCTGTCTCTCGGTCAAATTCAGGAGTCTCGCCACTTCGTACCTGCGCTCCCGAGGGAGGTACATGTTGAAGAGGAACTCTTTCTCCAGTTCGAGGATTTGGTGCTTGGTGTAGGGGCAGCGCTTTTTCCTGGTGGGCTTTGCGTGAAGCCAGTTCGACGACGGGTTGTCTGGAGGAAAAGAGGCATCATAATGGTTTTGAATGTTCTTTTTTTTATTGTAAGCTCCTATTTTTAACACATAGAAAAAGAGATGGCACTCCTGTGTTTGCCATCCCTCAGAAAATCCATTTTTCAGATTAAAACCAGGTTTTAATTTGGCTTAAAATTGACTATCCCCATCACTACTAGGCCATAGACTTGAATAAATAAGGAAAATGTTTCTTTGCTTACTTGCATCCACCTCCTCCTTCCTCTCATCCGTCTGTTTGTCGTCGCTGGCTGCAGATGTGGGGGATGTTTCACAGGGAATCTCTGTGAGGGAAGCTCCGTTTTCAATGTCAGATAAAAGCGGTGGGTGTGATTCTAGAGTCGTACATTCCGCGCCTCCGATTAACGGTTCGGGCTTTATCTCGTAATGCGCGGCTGCAGACTGGATTCCCGTCAAACACAACGACGCAGAGAGAGGATCCAACGCCCAGGAGCGCGCAAACATGCCATCTGCGTCTCCGCTGTATTGGTGATGTAGGTAAGCGTTTGGAGGGTGCGCCCCGATGGTGCCCCAGGATCCTCCGCCTCCGAAGATAGAGGATTTCGGTTCCTGTCCGCCATATTCGTTGTGCGACGCCTGCTCCATCCCTGCAGAGGATGAGTACCTCATCGATGCTATTTCTTCCTGATCGGAAAGAATGCGCGCGTCTACATAGTAGCCTGTTCCCATTGTTCCAGATCGAAAAGATATACAAAGCAATAAAGGGGGGAAAAAATGGAAGACGAGATTCAAAACCTCCCTTTTACAATCATTTAACGTTTAGAGAACGGATTCAATCCATTGCAAGGTGCCGCGTTGGTGCGCCACCTACAAGCTCCTTGCGTCCAGTAACTTGAACACTATCCAAAATTGGATAGGGCGCCCCAAAACACGTGACCGTGGGACAGAACAATAAATAATAAATCAGCCCCGCATACCGCTCGGCTTAAAAAGGGGGCCACCATTTTCCCCTCACCATATTTTAATAGCAAATCTCCGCGCTTTTATTGGCAAATATTTCCTTTTATTAGCAATAAACGTTGTGATTTTGGTCCAGGGATTCCCATTTATTGTAAACCATCAAGGCTGTGAATACACGAGCAGAGTTATTGGTTCTTTAACGCTTCTTTTCTATAAATAACCGATTTGAAGAAAGAAACATGGACGCTAAAATGTGTTAGATTTGAAATGAAAGCTTTAGAAAAGCCTCGGGTGTAAATATCCTTAACGCAACTTTTGTTATTGTTTTTCTATTGTAGTTATTCTTACATATCGAACATGTGAAGGTTACTTTTGTAAATAACCTTAAGGGTAGTTTCCACACTGGAAAAAAAAATCAAAATCTAGATCTAGCTAGAAGTAATTTCTTCTTAAAATAGGTGCATTTTTGAGGAGGGGAAATAGACAGTTTGCCAATGGAACAAGACAATTGACACTTAAAATAAGAAATCGCAATTGTATTGTCTTATTTCCGGTGCATTTCATCTAATTATTTTATTTTAAGAGTAAAACTACTCATTCCATTTGCAAACTATCTCATTTACCTGCTCATATTAAGGGTGAATACACTTAATTTAAGACATTTTTACTTATTTCTAGATCGTTTTTCCAGTGCAGGAGATAACCAAGCTGCGTCTATAAGCCAGGCTCCACTTTAAAGGCAATCCTAGGCGGAAAGCAGCAGGGTTAAAGTTATGTGGGTGCCATATAACGGCCCATTTTTACCACGGGCAATTGGGTTGTTTTTCTCCAGGTTACAGCTTGGCTGTCTAAGCTAAATATCACCAATAAAGCTCACCCTTTGTCCTCTTTCTCTGCATGATCCTTGCAGACACATCCGGCATTTTTAAAGCAACTGGCGAGACTGCAATGATCATAACCGAGGCCTTGTGTGTCCAAACCTTTTTTTCCCGAGGTGTAGAAATAAAAAAAAGGGGATTTACTACTTTTTTCCAAGAGCCTAAGATCTAAAAAATATTTTTTCCCTCTGATCATGCTGTTCAGCTAATTGAATTTTCCAAAACGTGCAGAAATCTGACGATTCATCCGAGTAATTTGCTATATTTTACGCACAGATGATTCTCTGTTCACTGTTTATGAAAAGAAAAAAGCTTATGATTTATGCGCCAAACGTTAATAAAGATGTTCCAACGAGGTTTGCTTTTAATTATAAGATGATTTTCACTGAGGTAATCAAGGCAGTTTCGTGTTGTGGAAACATAAAATAAAAAGCCCAACAACATGAGACTACCTAAACCACGCAGCAGCCTGCTCTCCTGTGAAGCGATTAGTGTTTTTGGTGTAACTTTAATTTTAATAGTAAAAACTTGTTTAAACCCGGTTGTTGCTTGAAAACAGCCTTTTAAGTATTACATTTTCACTCCTTCTTTTTTCTCATTGATAAAATATCCGAGGTCTGCTTTTGCGTAAAGATTGTTGTACCCTGTTGTCCAAGAAGTTATTTGTAAAGATTCGTTTTTTATAAAAGAAGTCTGTGAAGCTGGTGATGCCTTCTGGTTAAGCAAAGTGAATGTAAGTTAAAAGTCTGTTAGCCAACATGAAGATTCAAACCAAACGTCACAACTTATAGGTTCTACTGATTGGGAAAACCAAAGGAAACTTGCATCAAATTCTAACAACATAAATAAGTTTAAAGCTGTTGGTTAGTGAGGGATCTTCCAGCATCTCCAGATATGCTCTCCTAGTTGTCACACAATACACTGGAAAAAAAAATCGAAATTAAGATAAGTAATGTTTTCTTGAAATAAGTGCATTTGTTCTTTGATTGAGGAGGTAAAAGCGACATTTTGCCAATGGAACAATATAATTTACATTTAAAGTAAACACAGTTGAGTTGTCTTATTTTAAGTGCATATTATCTAATTATCTTATTTTAAGAGTACAAATATTTATTCCATTGGCAAACTATCTCATTTACCTACTCAATTTGAGACATTTTCACCTTTTTCTAAATCGTTTTTCTAGTGTATGGACCATTTTTACTCCACTGCATTTTCATCACAAACAGTTCCAAGTGAAATAAAAGTGAAGCATGCCTAAAAATCTTGTTTATTTGTTTGTTTGTTTTATGGTTTAGCTTGTTTTGTTGTTGATGTTGTTTTATTGCTTTGTGGGTTTTTTTTTTTTTGGTTTTTTTTTGTTGGGATGGGTCACATGACTTAAAAGACTTAGCTTTAATGTTGTGGTTTAGCGCTCATATGGATGAAATGATGGACTGAAAAGGTCATATTCAGCATATATATCGGGTCTAAATCTCTACAGTCAATATTAAATGATTATAACAAACACCTCCTTAGATGCCTGGTATTTTATCTATAAAAACAGGTTTGTTTTCAGTGTAAGATTCCCATTGAATGAAAAGGGAAAGCACTGGACTTGTACAAAGAATGAGCATTTAAAACAGCACACAAAGCCCCTCATAGGGATGTAATAATATGTCTGCGGCTACATTGTTTTTTATTCATTAGAGCAGCTAAATGTGCAAATATTTTCAAGACCTTTTCTTTTTTTCAGCTTTCACATTAAGGTCTACATGTAACTGTAACACAAATGAGGCAGTGGTAAGTCCAGCATGCAAAATCCAATGGATCACTCAGATTGAGTGTATGTACAAGCCGGGACAACTGGATGGATGGAAAGGTGGCGGTATATAAATACAAATCCACGACAAGAACAGCTCTGATCAATAAGTTAGTTTCCAGAGTTTGGGTGGAGGAGAGGGAAGAAAGGAGAAGAGGAGGAGTAGGAGGAGAAGGATGTTTCTCATCAAAGTCTCACGAAAACCCAAAGTTGCTGGAAAGCTCCCGGATCCTGTTCTCGCGGCTCATCTTTTTCAGTTTCATCCTCCGGTTCTGGAACCAGATTTTAACTTGCCTGTCGGTGAGGTGCACGCTGCGGCTGATCTCGAGGCGACGCTCCCGAGTCAAGTACATGTTGAAGAGAAACTCTTTCTCCAGCTCCAGAGTCTGGTGCTTGGTGTAAGGGCAGCGCTTCTTCCTGCCGCTCTTTGCTGTCAGCCAGTTGGCCGTGCTTTCTGTCTTCCCATCTCCTGTTAACAGTGGGGAAAGGAGCGCAGTGTTACTGCAGGCAACAAGTATCATAGAAGATGAGCTGTTAATTAGAAGCAGGCACTTAAAACGATGTTGCGGAAGTTTGACAAGGCCAGTCTGCTATTGATTTCAAATTTATTATCTGACTTACAAACGCTAAGATAAGAGCAAAGATATGATACTATTCTTTTTTAAATTATACCATATTGGTAATATCTTAATTTTACGCACACCTGTAACCAAAGACAAATAACGTGCAAATTATATATATATATATATATATATATATATATATATATATATATATATATATATATATATATATATATATATATATATATATATATATATATATATATATATATATATATATATATATATATATATATATATATATGTGTGTGTGTGTGTGTGTGTGTGTGTGTGTGTGTGTGTGTGTGTGTGTGTGTGCATGTCATTATGTTTTTTTATGCAAAAAAGGTTTACTTATAAATATGAAAATAAATAATAGAATATAACATAAATAATATAATATATAACATAAAAAGGTAATTTGAATACAGACGGCGCCCTGTATATTTTCTTTTACCTGAGGGGAAAAAGATTAACTCCCACTTTACAACTAACAAATGATAATCCAGATAATGTATAATAGTCATCATAATTCGCGTTACCTGTTATCTTTATTTCACAAACAAGTGTTTTTTTGTTTTTGTTTTTTTGCAAAAATTTCGTTAAAATCAATTATCTGTAATCGCATATCTTTTCAGTCTTCATAATGCATTGTTAACCAGAATGTTAATTGTGTCAACAGTGATGAAGAGGTTTAACTTACTGTTAAGACATTGTTTTGCCTTATGTTATATTTATTGATTGAAATACCTTCATATCTATTTTTTTTTTTTTTTTTTTGCAGGCATAGTAATGTGGAACTGATGTGCAGGAGGACATTAGTCTACTGTTTGATACTGGCAGAAATATATTTTATTGTTAAAACAAGACAAAAAAAACAATACCGTTGAACTTTTGGGTGTTGTAATTCAGACCCCAGTTTTCTGTCACTGAACTACCAGATAGACAGCTTTAATGCAGTTGGCAATGGGATAGGAAATTGACTGCATTCCATTGTGATCAAAGTGGAAAATATGTAAATTAGTCTGAAAGTTTCTTTGACTGGATCATTTTTCAATTCATTTGCACCGATTTTACCAAACAAAGGCGACAATAATATTCAATTTAAATGTTAAAACATCATTATATGTAAAGACAACTCTTCTATTCATTATTCTTTATTGTTATCTTTGACTTAAACGATTTTTGATATACACAGCTATAACCCTAAAAAAGGCGCAACTATAGCGGGGGCCTGTTTCCGTTTTAAGCGCAACCAAAGAGGCACAATGGGTTCAATCCTCTGTTCTGATTGGCCAAGTCATGGTCAAATTTGTGTCAGCCCAAACAAACAGACCTGGGAATCTCTTGTTCACCTAAAGCTGAAACTACTCCTCTATCATGCATTAGAAACCTTAATTGGCTGTAAAACAATAACCGCCCACTTAACAAAAAAAGGAAAACATGGATATGTCTGAGGAGCTCGCTGATTTTGCTTCATTTTGCAGCAGCTTTTCAAGTTGTCACCTTTTACGGACTTGTCTCGACACTCTGCGCTGCACGCATCGGCGGGATCCGTGGAAGATGAGCTCTCCGAGGAGAGGCGGCTGTCCTCCTCCTCCCTGCTCGGGGCGCACGGTGCAGGAACAGGCGCCTCCTCGTTAATCTCCCCGCGATCCGGCTCCGCGGAGATGGACTGCGGCTGGGGGGGCTGGCCTTCAAAGCGGCTGGCTCGCTGCAGACTGAAGTGATTCATGTCCGGCTGAACATCGTGGTGGAGCCTGGAGGACGCATATGTCTGAGACAGACGGAAGTAGCCCGGGACTGGGACGGTGCTACCGGGGCAGGAGGTGGTGGAGTAGGATGTGTCTTCAGCTGTCGCTCCTTTAGGCATTTTTTCTGACTCATAAAGGCAGCAGGCGCTCTCCTCCTTTATGCTCGGCGAGAAGGAACACTGAGCCAAGTGCTGGCCGCTGCAGGGCTGATCCACCCGGCAGGACCTGGACGTTTCCAGCCACGGTTCCATCCCCTGAACATACGGAACCGAGGACGGGATCATACTTTGGGTCGTTGGCTCGCTGCGCTTCCCGACGGCTGGGAAACAGGAGCCATATGAATATTCCGAGGCTGCTGGCAAATAAAGCCCGCTGCTTTGGTAATAAGGAGCGCCGTCGGTTCTCACGTTGATTAAGGAGTCCACAAAGAAAGAGTTTCCAGCCTGGTTGTGGGAACATGACATCGTCGCGCTGTTATGTGGCGGCGGATGAAGATGGCCTTCTCTGGCTGACATTTCTTGTGCAAAAACATTGCTGAATAATTACTGATACTCACGCTTCTCACTGAAGTCTGCAGCCAATTAAAACACCAGCCGACTGCAGACTCCTCCCAGACAGAGCAGCCAACTCTAATATGTCGTATATTTTCTTTCAGACCAAGTAAAGAAAAAACTCTTATAAAAAGGTGCTGCATTTTAGCCCCGTTTTGTTAAAAAAGGAACACGTCGAATTTACTTGGGGATAATTTCCCGAGAACTGCGATCCCTCCAGCGGCCTCACTTTAACAAGTTAGTTGCTGAGAGCTGTCCCCAGCAACTGTGCGCATTGTCGTTTTACAATCGCTTTTACAGCACAGTAAAAATGAAGGGTTGGAGAGATGCCTGTAGGAAATAAAAGAGGAAAGATACAAAAAAAAAAGAAAAAACTCCTATGGAGGAAGGACTCTACCTTTGTAGCTCTGAACATCATTGTTGGACTTCACTTTTAAACCCTGCACCATCAAAGCCTGCAGTGGATTCCATCCGGTTATACTGTTGCACATACCAAAGCAAAGCCAGTTGTGGGATGAAGCGTAGCTGTAACATTGTGGGTTAAAATGCCTTGATGGTGTCAATAGCCCACAACTTTCACTGCACACTGGATGTGTAACCACCAGAGCGAAACAATACCCTGGAGGAACATTTATTTGGCTCAGATTAGATGGAAGAAGGGCTGGTACATCAATTTATATATATATATATATATATATATATATATATATATATATATATATATATATATATATATATATATATATATATATATATATATATATATATATATATATATATATATATATATATATATATATATATATATATATATATATTGCACGTTATTTGTCTTTGGTTACATGTGTGCGTAAAAGTGCGATGGAAGCCAAATTCCAAAAAATCGTCTCTATGTTGAGTGGGGAAATATTCTTTCAATTAGTTATGATTTTTTTATTGTTTTTTCTCTTGATGGTTAATGGATGAATTATTTTATCTATTTATTAATTAATTAATTCCAAGAGCATTCAATCTTGTGCTATAATAACAAAGCAAAACATCAATTTTCCATATACACCTCATTTATTTGGTTGTGCTTTTTATCCAGAAATGACTTTGAGATTAAATTGATCAGTTGATTTGGGATTTGTTCAGATTAACCCTGTTTTTATTCCTTTATTTATGTACACGTTTTCTCATTTTATTTCTTTATGGATTTATGTTTCTATCGTTTTATACTGAGTAGTTTGGGATGGGTTTTTTAAAGGATGATGTGTTATTTATTGGAGCCAACATTCATTTCACGGCTCCTCTTGTTCAGAATGTTTCCCAGTGCAGAATATATAGTTTGTGGATAACTTTAAAATAATTAAAGCTGAAGGTTTTTCGGGATGCTTCAGAGAGAGACAAAGGGCCCCAAAATACATACTTTTTTTTTTTTTTTTTTTTTTTTTTTGAGGCGGGGGGCACTTAGCTGAGACAGTGTTTAAAACAGGCCTGCAGATTTAGTGCGAGCCAGAAACGTCTCTGAAGATGGGATTTGCCCTACTCCACCGCGGTCACGTCTATCTCCCCCCACAGCCTGGAGCCGTAAAGTCTAGAAATAAGAGCTGCAGTTTTATATGGCGTCAGACCTGCTGCAGTCAAACAGCGATGAAGGAAAATATCCATTAACCCTGGAGGATTATTTCCTGTCATGTTTCTGTATGCTCCTTTTTTTTTTTTATTATCATCCCCTTATATCATTACTCTCATAAAACACACAGTTTCATAGGCAAAGATTTTATTCTTTAAGTTTGTAAGGAGTTGTTAGAAAGTGCATGAAAAATACCACCCGGGTGGCTGAATGCGCACAACAAGCGGCTCCAAAGAAACTAAGTTTTAAATTTTTTGCCTGTTAGAAAACAAGTCCATCTCAATACACGTTTTATTTATGTCCAAATCTAGTTGAAGCGTTAACCTCATATGTGACCCTTATTCAAATAAACATACATTACATATTATTTGTTAGTTGCATCCCAGCAATTCCTCTTTGAATTATAGATTACAACAAACGCCTTTAGATTTGTGACTCTCAGATGTACATAATCTGGATTAACTCAAGTTTAAACCACCATGCAGAAGTTAATATGTCCTAAATAAAAACACATGATGATATTCCTGGGCCTACCTTCATCAAATCCTTAGATGGTAAGATATTCTAAAAAAAAAAAAAAAAAAAAAAAAAAAAAAAAAAAACACCTGAGGGGCTGCAGTCCCAACTTCTTTTCTATGATCTCTATTCACGGCAATGACATTGATCTGAGGAGCGCCACCCAGTGGGCTGAGACGGAACCACCTTATAAGAACAATAAGAGCGGGAAGCGCAGAGAATACCAATCCCACCATGCAGCGGTGAGATGCTGCAACAAATGATGAAGGAAAAGTCCAAGAAGACACCTTTCAATGTTTTTTTTTTCTTCAGCCCCCTCCTTTAAAGTCCCGGTTAATAACCTTGGTCTCAGACGCTTTATGGCACTGCACTCCAAATGGTCCAGACGAAGCCGCCCTTTTATGGCCAAGTTGCTGGAGCAACTAGGAGGATGTGCAGCAATCAAAGCGGAATTCCTGAGAGCCCAACAGGATGCGCGGTGTAGTAAGGAAGCCTCCATGCAGGACCCCTATTACATTATGACAGGCCATTCGGGTTGTTTTCAGGGGCCCGGTGGTCCAAATAAAGCTGTCTTCGTGAACTTATAGGTTAAACACATCATGCTTGAATTAAATAAATTTACTTTTCCACCTGAGTTTTTGGACTTTTATTTCGTTTGTAAAAAACTAAACGAATAAATAAGAAAATTGAAATTACACATGTTATCCGCTGGTGTGTTTGTTGGATGGTGATCTGGTTTGTAAAGCCTTGTAACGTGTTTGTTTCGAGGAGCTGGTTAGAAAGCTGCTAAAAACATGGTCTAAGAAATTTTAGGGAAAAAAATTCAAAGCATGTGCTAAAGTGTTTAAATATTGGAAATTATCAATAGACCTAAATCATTTGATTCTACAAATCACAAGATTCTACCAAAAATTGAATTATAAGTGATTTTTTTTCTTAAAATAAATGCATTTTTTCTTGGGTTGATGAAGTAAGTGAGACACTTTCACAATGGAACAAGACGATTTACATTTAAAATAAGAAAAAAGCAATTGCATTGTCTTATTTCAAGTGCATTTAATCTAATTATCTTATTTTAGAGTAAAAATACTCATTCCATTGTCAAATCCTCCTATTTACCTACTCATATTAAGGGTGAATATATTTAATTTAAGAAATCTTTACTTATTTCTAGATTTTTTTTTTTTATTTATTTATTTATTTATTTTTTGCAGTGTAGCAGCAGTTATTGGTTCAAGGCTATTTAGGCTATGAGCATATCTAAACAAAATCATGTTTAAGGTGAAGCATGTGTGGGCTTATCTGCATCAAACTAACATGCATGCCAAACAAAACATCAGCATTTCCCCTCCCTAACAAATGAATGGATTCTTTGTAACAAACTAAATGCAGCGACTCTTATTTCACTATCAGATAACAGCTCTTTCAAGCATGACGCTTTCCACAGATTGTGTGTGCTGGGTCATAAAAACAGATCAGATTATGTTAAATTAGATGTTGTCCTTATTCACCAGTTTGTCCATTTTGTGGGGAATCTAAAAAAAAAAAGAAAGTATAATCCATGTTTACAGCTAAAACTTTGGGGGTTGAAGATGTTTAAAGACATTGGTGGGAAGAAAAGAAAAAAACATTAAACCCGCCAGCTGATTTCCGTCAACAATAACGCAGACTCCAAAACATAAGCTACATAAGGGTTTCAGGTTACCACGGGCATAAAATAAAATTATGGCGGAGGGGCCATGACGGCAAGCGCTTTCTTTGAAAGACTTTTAAAATCTGTTCGTGTTTTTAGGGGGAAAAAACACGAAAACAATTATTTATATATTTTTTTTAATTATATATAGAATTTGTGTTTAAGGGGGGAAAAGGGAATAAAATTGAAGACATTGAATGCTATCAGTATCTGGAAACTTTTTTTATTTAGAAAATTAAGTACAGTTTTCTGGGTTTGATCTTTCTGTGCCTGCTTAACCTTAAAAACAGGAAGAAAGGAATAACAATAATAATGATAATAATAATAATTAAACACAGCTCAGGGTTAATTGTATATTTTTAGGAGATTTTTAAAATAATAAAGATATTTAACAATGAAAAAAGTCATTTTTTGTCTCTCTCTTTTGGAGTGAAGGCGCTCATCAGCAGTCTTTGTTCGTTTCTCCGTTTTCAGAGCAGAGGGTTTGTGCTGTAGTACTGTAAACGGTCTCTGTTCAGTTTCTTCTCCTTCATTCTCCTGTTTTGAAACCAGATTTTCACCTGACGGTCCGTCAGGTTAAGCATCCGGGAGAGCTGCAGGCGCTTCTCCTTGTTGATGTAGACGCTGAAGAAGAACTCCCTCTCCAGCTCCCTGATCTGGTACTTGGTGTACGGACACCTCTTTTTGCGCGTCCTCTGGCCACCTGCAAAACAGAATAAACATGGATTAGACCTGAATGTTTTTTACAGATGCAGTTCAACGATGTGAAATCACAGGGCTGCTTCTTTCACCATAATTCCCGGTCATGGTGGTCCTGCAACACACAGGCTTTGGAGTTCAAGTGCCCCCCTCCTGTTCTCAGGCCCGCAGGAGCGACTTGTGTACATAAAGACTATGACTCAGAGTAAAGCATTTGGGTTGTCGGAAGTATTGAAACCATTTTCAAATCCTTTAAAACCTCATATTTACATAGCATCGGAGTTTTCTGTTGGTCAAATAGATGTATTATCTCTTCTGTAGAACTGAAACTGTTTCAGCTTTTTTTTTTGAGCGAAAATTCAATCCATCAAAGCTTGTTTTGACAAAAAAAAGATCATGTGCATTAGTTTAATTTCATATTTTATTAAAAAAAAACACTATAAATAAAACTTCAACAAATAAATAAATTAATCAAGCATTTTATGCGTTGAACTGATGCAATTCAGTCCTTGCAGGCTGTTAGAAAAGCAATTTATCAAATTAATTTGAGTCTATTATTTTTAATTCTAAAATATCATATCAGAGTTTTTATGATACAAATACAATTAATTTTCTGTTAACAACAAGAAAAATAAGATGCCACAGCACGTGCATTGGTGACAAGAGGAATCTTGTTTAAATTCGTAAGGCAAACTTTACGCAAATGTCTTCACGGCCAATTTCAATCCCAAGCACGTGATGCTGTAGTTTATAACAGTTTTGTTACCGAGCCCTCCATAAACCTCGCGTGCTTATAAAACTGCATATAAAAAAGCTTTAAGAGCAGCAGCGTTAGACATTTTTTCCTCTCCTCACTCACTGGTGCAGCTCCTGCTCTGCTTCTCCTCGCTGTGGCTGGATGGTGACTCCGGGCTGCAGCTCTCCCCCGTGTCCGAAGCCGGGTGATTGTGAGTCGGGCTCGTTTTGCTACCTCTCTCTGGGTCCGCCGCCGCGCCAGCGCCGCCGTCCGCGCTCCCGTACGCCGTGTCGAAGAACTGATCGAAAGCTTGAGGCAGGACGCCGTTCCTCCCGACGCTGCCGCAGAAGCCAGGGGTCTGGCTGGGTGAGCCGGAGTGGCCGGCTTTCACCAGCATCTCTGCCCCCCTGGAGGTCGGGCTCGCCCAGCTGTCCCTGTGCGCCACATCCTCGGCGTAGCAATGTGGGAGACTCCCCCTGCTGTGGTGCCATTTACTGGTAGCATCGATCCCATAGTCTCTGAAAGCCACCTCTCTCACTGATGGAACCTGTGTCAGCGCTGAGGACTGGTAAGGGTAGCTGACTGGGCAGGATGACTGGTTCTGAGTTAAATAGTGAGGGAGACCAGAGAAGTCCGCTCCGGAGACGTAATAAGTGCAGCTCGGTAGATACATACTGGAACCAGACATCCGTTCATCAAAATCCATATTCTGCAGCTGGGATCGCTCTATGGTAATAATCCTCTCATTGTTCCTGCGCGAGGCTGCGCTCCAGCCACTTTGAGGCAGACTGGTGGAGCAGAAACCCTTAGACGTACAAGCTGACGTGAGGGATCCATCTCCATCCATTCCTGAGGGCCAAAGCCATGTGACCACTGGCACAATATGACAAATAGCCTACGTCTCGACGTGTGTTGGCTATATGAGTCTAATAGTTTTGCAGCTGGAAAAGCCAATCTTTGCATATAGAAACGAGACAGCGCCGGGGGACTTTTAAGAGCATTTTGGACATTTTTTTGGAGGTCCGCATGTAAGGCCTACTGCTACAATCAGGGTTAATTCTTCCTGATTTACACGAAAAACACAATGCATGTTCAGCTTCACACCAAGCTGTTGCACCGGCCACCTTTTTCTTAACCTTTTTGTTTCCACACAAAACGCCTCACCTCCCCTATCTTCTAAACCCCTTGGAGTCCTTTTTTTGTTTGAGCAAAATGCAGAAATCTTGTGTTTGATCCAGCTTATGAGTTACTCATGCATAAAGAAATATCTGGAGAGCAGAAGATGCACGCAATCTATCTAATAGGCTATATAAAGACCAATCAAGGCCCATGTTCTAAATGACTGGAGCGACAGGCGCATATCCCCTTTTGTCGCTGACATTTCTTTGGAGCATGACAACTAAAAAAAGACCACTACCAACTTCATGTAGCTACTAATTTTAGGTGAAGCTGCACAGGTCGCAGACATGATTATTCGAAGTAAAAGTCCAAATCAATGGATGATGAGGTGATTATCTACGTGGTCATGGCAAAGCTTGAGTTTCACGTTCAATGCAGACGGTCATGAGCTATGAATAACAGACGCAAAGAGAAGGCTGCCACGCTCTCTCTGATTGCAACGCCCCGATGTAAACCTTTGGACACGGCATATTTGCCTCAAACAAATCCCTTTGTAATCGTCATTGCATGTCAAGTATGCATAGTTAATGCGGATACATCGCAATTCTGTTTTTTATTTTTTGGGTTTTATTTTTTTGCGCAAAAAAAGTCTCTCAGATCTGTCTCAAGATATCTTTATGTTGGTATACTGCTACCATTTTATGATTGTAATTTATTTTATGCTGACATTTAGAGGGAATAAAACTTAAAATTTGATTTAAAAAAAAGTCTGATTGCTTTAATGTAGAAGTTTCTGATAAAAGATGGAGTATGATTTCTCAGCTAGTTTCCTGCAAACAATGGACTAAAGGGTCTCAGATCGGACACTCCAGCCTTTTTAAGGAATGTTATAAAATCGTTGAAACGCATGATAAAAACGTACAAGCAAAATTAATCTTTAGAATGAAAAAAAAAATCACACTATCCCATGAAATTACATTAAATAGATTATTTTTTTTTTTTTTTTTTGCAGGCTTACACTTTTTAATTCAACATAATTTAAGTGTAATACTAAAGCAAAAATACTAATAGCGAGTTTTGATGTTTATAAAAATTTCCACCAAGCCAAAAATACCAAATTACAATACAATACAGTATGTCCTCGCTCTTTTTTTCAGCCTTTTTTGTTATAAACTGCCCAACAAAAACACGTTTTATAAGACTAGACATTTTAGTAAAGACAAATAAATAATAACTTGTTAATTATTCTAAACCTGTCTTTGTAAGTAAAAAGAAAAACAATTCATATAAGCTGAAACAAAGCAATGCGTTTAGCCTGCCTATAATTATACTATTAGCACTTAAGTCCTTTATTCTGCTGCAGTAACGTTGTGTTTTACAGTAGAGACAAACTGGTTTTATAGTCTAAGAGGGGGGAAAAAATCTGCGCAGGAAAACAAAAGCTGAATGGGAGGCATTATAAAAACGAAAAACACAGGAGAAAAGGAACTGACAAATACTGTGGGATACTCAGATGAATTGAGCAAAAATAAATTAGGAAAAAAAAGTAAACAATGCCAAAAAATTAAGTGTAGGCCTATCAGATAGATCAGGTGAAAGATAAATGAAGGAAACATCAGGCGTAACAAAGTTCACGTTTTATGGTGCAGATTTATTTCAGAGGCTATTTCTTACTATTGACTGGTAATTATAAAACACTGAAATACAAGGTTTATTCCTGTGTGTGACTTTTGTCAGTTTTTTATGAGTATTTATTTTGTGGGAACATCTTTCTAGTCAGTAATTTATTTTTATACTTTTTTCTCTCTAAACAGTGATAAGAACGTTTTGTATCATCTATTTTTATGTGAAGAGATTCGCTTTTAGCTGCAGTCCAGTGAGCAGGATCTCCTCTAATAAACAAAGGCGCAAAGCATTACTAAGTCAGCCACGTTTTTGTCTGAAGGGTCTAACACTGTTTTTGTGATTTCATATTGCAGCATATTAAACAACTTTTATATTACATATTTGTGAGCTTCTCAGTTTTGAAGGCTGTCCCCTTGGAATAGAAAAAAAAGATAACCTACATGTATAAATAACGAGTAGATGTGGTTGAGAAAAGAAAGGGGGAAATATGTTGACTTTAAAAACATCTAGAGTTGATCAAAATGACAAATCAGTTCCCCTTTCTACTTCCGTTTTAAGTAAATTTAGAACAGTGTATACATGTAAATAAATAAATAGGTAAAATAGACTATTTTCAACATTTTCGTAAGAGAAAGCGGTTGACCTTATAGCCATGTTAATGGAAGCGATGTTTGGAAGGGAGATGCAGTTACATCATTCACCAGTAGAGGGAGTAAAGACACAAAACAATATCAGCAAAGTCAGAGTGCCATTGTGACGTCAAGACTTATGGTTAAGCGCTAAAGATGCATTGTTTAAAAAAGGGTCATCTAATAAGAACATTATTTATTAAACATGAAACGTCCTCCGTGTAATTCTAATAGAAGAGCATTAAAATGCATTCTCATGGGATAAAGATCATCCTTATTTTAGATGACGTCACACATAAACGCTTAGTTTAACAGTGTCACCCCTCGATATAATTTTACATTGGCTGATGTTATCTTTATTCATGGTTTACATTTATTTTTGTTTTAAATAAGGCTGTGGATTAAATAATTAGTGTGTTTTTTTTCTATTAATTTTTATATAGAGATTCCCCCCACTTACAGGAAGCAGTTAAGAGATAAAACGAGCCAAATACTAACACATATTTTGTGTGTTAGACCAAAAAAAAAAAAAAAAAAAACGCAATTAAATAAGTATAATTAATAATATGGTTGCAAGCAAAGGAAAAATATCCGATGACAGACTAAGTTTACTTATAAAGCTTTATTTAGAGCTCCTTTCGTTCTGTTGTCATTTCTTCCTTTACTATTTTTACCCCTTTGAATCACTTTTATCTTCTTGGTTGTTTGGCAGATTTGATGGATCTTTAAGCTACAAAATATCAACTTATTCATATTTATTTAAATGTACTTTTATGTAATTTCAGAGGGCTGTGTCGCTTTTCCCCTGGTTAAAGTTTTACAATCAATACATTAGATGTTTTCCAATAAGGCTCGTTTGCCGGATTAAAAACACCTTTCTAAGAAAAAAAAAAAACAAACAAAAAAACAATATCGCTTAAGTAGATATTCTAAAAAAAATTCCCCCCATTTTTACTACACATTTTGTGAAAAACAGTGTGAATGTAAAAAAAAATGTATTTCTTAGACAAATAGGCCTACATTTGTGTAATAAAATGTATTTTTATTTTAATATTCTCATTTTAAATAGTGTGTTTTCCTTAGGAACGAGAGGAACTCACAATAATTAACAGAAAGATAAGCTTGAAAATAAAAATCAAACAAGTTTGAGTTCATATACTGTAACATTATTGATAACTACTGTAGACCAGTAATTCTTGCTCCTTTTGCCATTTCGCACCTTTGCTGCTCTGGAACTCTGTACAGTGGGCAACTCTTAACAAAGTCGGTGGAGTGTCGGCCCAGTGTTTAGGGCACAGAGCTGATAATCCTGAGGTTCTGGGTTCGAAACCCACTCCCATCCCCTTCCTGCTTTATGTAATGTCTGTGGCCATGCAACCATATTTCAACGCATTCTTCCCTAAAGCAAAGAGGAAAAGATCATTTAAAAATAAAAGCTGCAGAAACGTCGGGTACGAAGTGACAATTTGAGCAGCATCCAACAGAAGCAGCTATAGATTAAAGATCTGAAGAAGAAAAAAAAAAACTGCGCTTACAAAGAATCACCACAAGATGGCAGCACAGTGTCTCTGAAGCCACGACTGGGAGCTTACTGCAACCCATTTATTATTAGATTATAACAGTCATATTTTCATTTGGAACCAAAACTTCAATCATTTAATATGACAAAAAACAACAACAAAAAAAGAAAAGAAAAAAACGTGACAGCAGCTTTCAGTTTATTGTCAAAAAAGTTGACTTGTGAATAAAAGAAACAGGAAAATCACTTGGTTGCTCAGAAAATATTTACACTTTATGTGAGATTCACTCGTTTTATGTAAGCTACTGTTAATTTGAATGCTATATATATATATATATATATATATATATATATATATATATATATATATATATATATATATATATATATATATATATATATATATATATATATATATATATATATATATATATATATATTCTTTTTTTATATGAGGGCTAATTAAGTGGGCCTTTTTGTTTTAGACAACCTGATTGATAGATCCTTTAATCAACCGTGGCGCCACTGAGGGGTGCCGACAAAGTTGCCAGAGGCCTCCTTCACAGTTTATCTTTTGGAAACCAAATTGAAGACAGAACAGAATGAGTGAACAGTGGAAATATTAAATTATATATAAATAAATATTTAATAGGGATGTCCGTTCTTCAGTTTTATAATACGCCACCTCAATATCTCCTTAAACATTCCCAACAGTTTCATGGGTTGAAATCTTTAAAAAAAAAATCCTAATTCTATAACCAACCAAGTCTTGATAAAGTTTTATTTAATAAGTAACTGAGAATGAGCACATATCCTGAAAGAAGTGGGTTTTTAAGAAAAAATCAAATTTCACCAACAGGGATTGGAACCAAATATGCAATTGAAAAATCTTCGGACAGTCTGCTTTAGTCATTCCTCCCCACAGTCTTAAACCAAAACCTGTTACATTTATTATTCCATGCGCTCCTCATGGGGAAAAGAAAAATGCGCACAATTTTCCGCCGTTGAACCCCTTTAATGCAGATGATGAACACTGAGTCATTCCACACAAAATCGCCCCAAACTCTTATCACTTCCGACCTTCCACGAACAGGCCCCACGGAATGGTTCCAATTAAAACGAGGAAGGAGAAGTTATAGTTCAAACCAGAGCCGCTCTGGGGAGACTGTGTAACAGTTCATAAATGGAATAAATTATAGCACAGTTTTCTGTCTTTTTTTTTTCTTCTTTTTTCACCTCTGATGAAAACGCACCCGACTCCTGGGAATGTCTCCAGAGCTAAGTGGAGCTCTTGAACTTATTGACAACTTTTTTCTCCTTTACGCGCCTGTTCTGGAACCAAATCGTCACTTGTCTCTCTGTCAGGTTCGTCTGCGCGGATATTCGCCTCCTTTTGTCCTTGGTGATGAATTTGTTGGTGGCGTACTCCCTCTCCAGTTCTTTAAGTTGCACCTTAGTGTATGGTACGCGTTTCTTTCTTCCTCGGCGGACTGAATTGTCCACACCACCGGATAAAGAGTCTGGAAAGAAAAAAATCAGTATTAAAATCAGAAATAATTGCAGCAATACAAGTTATAATGAATGATTTTTGAATGAATCTTCACCTTGTAATGAGGATTTCCATAGAGAGTTTGCCTGCGTCTGTTCCTTGGTGCAGTAAACTTGTCCACTCCACCCGTTGGTGATGGTCCAGGGCTGATAGGGCTCCATGGGCAACAGAGACTCTCTTGGCTCCGATGGCGCACTGAGTGCAGGGACCACCGGCACATCCAGGTAGCTGGGCTGATAGGGGCTGGAGGAATAACCCTGGTAGAAGGCAAACTCCTTCGCCCGGGTGGAGAACTCCTCACCTGAAACTGAGGAGTCCGCGTATTTGTCTCCATAACCGGAGGGCTGAGAGCACGCCTTGACGCCGCCGTGTGACACTCTGCACGGGTAATAACCGCTGCCAAAGTATCCGTAGGGCAGAGAGGCGTTAGGTGAGCTTTGAGTTGCAGAGCAGGGGCTGCACTGTTTGCCAGATTCCCCCACGCTGGACACTGGCCCCTCGCTGGGAGCATAGGTGGTGCTGGGAGCCAGAGAGGTCGGATGCGCCAAAAGGTTCCTGCACTGGTTCGCTGCGAAGTTCCCACCGGTGAAACCTTCCATGTTCTTGCTTCTCTCCTCCTGTGCGCCGCCGTCGTAGAGGAACATGACTGGGTCGATCCAGGGCGAGCCGAGGAGTAACGAGGCGGTCATAGCATGTCCTACATGGGAGGAGAGGAGGTGAGAGGAGAGAAGAGGCTCTTTTTCACTAATCCCCTCGACTGAGTTGAGACAGAGACCCGGGGCTGAGTAACGATCCCAGCACAGCAGAGGGCTCCGGGATCGGGAGGTTATTGGCCAGGGTTAAACACGTGATATGCAAAGGAGATGATAAACGTCTCTGCATCTGATAATGCAGACAGGGCAGCATGTTTGCACAGACGTTGGCCTCTTCAGCATTATGCCAAGATGCAGTTTTTTTTTTTTTTGTTTGTGTTTTTGGACATCCTATCCTATAATTAAAACCAGTTTTTGAAATTCATTCTAACTGAAATGTTTTATGCTTGTTACTATATGATTACAATGATGCAGTTTATCATTATTGTGTCATAATTGAAAATAAAGCGTTTTTCGTAGAGATATAGTGCCATTACGCACGTCATTTAGTCCTAATATTGAGGGTAAATGTGCAATACGCTAAACTGTTTCAGATTACGTGTAGGATTATTTTTCGATTGGGTTAAATATGTACTTTATAGACATATCTGGTCAAACAAACACCTCGTTACGCAGAATTACGCACTGATAAGAAAGGTTTGCCATTTTCTTATATCAAGCAGCAAACAATGCACGTGATGTTATGGCTTTAGTTGTTTTTTACTGCATTAAATACATTTCAGTAGTTTTATAAATGTGTTTCAAGTACAGTTTTGCGTATTTCATTATTACTATTTTATTTGAGATTTAACAACATGTCAGGTTGTAGAAGCGAGATGTTAAACACCACTGCATGAGTGAGACATAAAAAAAACACTGCGGCACTAAATCTAAATAAAAATCAAAGGGTAAATAATATTTTATGCATCTTTTTGCAAAAACAATCTATTAAATGCAAACGTGTATTCTGCTGGACCATAGACAGAGAAAGTAACACTACTTGTATAGATTAAAAACGAATTAGTCTTTTTCTTACCTTCTCAGTGAATTCATTAACTAAATATTGATACAATTCTGGCACACATATTGTCTTTACTGCATTCATTAAAAGAAGATTGCAGTGCGTAATAAATTTAAACCATACAAAGCGAACTGTCATCTGATGATAAAATAGTCCAAATCATATATGCATTTAATAGTTCATGTAATGCCAATTTCTTACTAGTCATAAGAGATACCGGATATCTAATAGGGACTGGGTTTCAAAGAAGTCTATGCACAAAGGCTTTTTTTCTGTTTTGGATCTGATTACAGGCTCTCACACGACTTTTGATGCGTATTTATTACAATTATTGTAAGGGGGAGGGCCCAGAGCCTGTAGATTGTAGGCCTGCAGCAACAAAATCCTCATAAGAAACTGAAATATAAAAGGCTACTCTATTTTTTTTTTTTCTGTGAGATTGTAAGAGTGGAGGCAGGATGAGAGTGTAAACAAGTGACATGGTAGACCCCCCCATCCCCCCATCCCAGACTGGAGGCCAAGGTCAAGTTGAAAGTTGCAGTCCAGCCAGGGAGGAGAATTAAGTTGCAGATTACAGATTATTTAACTAATTTAATGCAAACTCTCCTCTTTTGGATTCATTAAGGGAACTGTGATAAAAACGCGCAAGTATAAAATGTGACTCAAATTGACTCCTGGATAATTGTAGTGATTTCTGTGACAGTTTTTTTTTTTTTTTCCCCATTTACGAATCTACCAAGTTAAAGAAATAAAAAAAGAAAGAAGACGACAGAAAAGAAAGGCTCCACGTGGAAAAGTGAGACAAAAGTGAAAAGATAATTTAGAGATGGATTAAAACCTGTCGACTTAAAAGTGGTTTTACGGCGCTTTCTTTTTCCAGGGAGCTCAAACGCAGGGCCAGATAAATGCGAGGAGCCATTTTTATTTGAATGGAGTTTTCCCACCTTTTGAGGCTGTAAATCTTTATAGCCTGAGTTCATAGCTTTCCGGCTGTAAGGCATAGCCTACATTTCAAGGAGAGCAAAAGGGATGTTTTTTATTTTATTTAAATTTTTTGTATCGATTTAGTTTTGAATAAAAAGAAAAGCGCCTTTTAATTCATTTAAACTTAAAAAGTGGTGCATGGGAGTTGTTCATTAAAGTTGTTAAGCAGCATTTATCTGAGATTAGTTTTTGTTGTTGTTGTTGCTGTTTTAAACGAAAATTTTATAGTTGATATCGAACAGAAATGGTTGCGCAAGGTTTGCATCGGCTCGAAGATTAATTGACTTTGGAGCCTTAATTCCATCTAAATCCATCAACATATGAGCACCGATAATATGAACGGTCTCATTTAAAACATTTTATCATCCCTGGTGGATATTTTGGAACAATTAAATGTAATACATCAATGGAAATATATGATGAAATGCATTAATTATTAAGGAGAAGTGTTTCTTTTTTTTTCCTTTTTTTTGTGAGCCACTGGTTTAGTCTCGTAGGTTTTCTTTTTAAGTAGATATTCACTGAAAACTGCAGTTGATTAAGGATACAGACAATAATGTAATTTAGTTATAAATGTTACCATAATTCACACAGTATGCATATTTTTATTGGAGTGATTAGGATTAAGCCTGTATATTTTTTCCCGTTTCCAGGGGGGGAAGATTAGATCATGATAAACATACAGATTTTGGAAGTAATAAAGAAAAATAAAATTAGATAAATGTATATTTCTAAACATCAAGAACTGCATAATCTGTGCTAAAAATACAAAGAGTTATGGTAAGCTTTTTGTTTTTTAACCTTTAAAAATATTTTCTGTGAAATGAACTTTACAGTCAAAGTCTAAACACGTGATATCAATTTACAACTTAAATTGCGTGTTTAGTTACAAATCATATAGCTAGACCAAGGCAAATGCAAACAGGGTGTTCATTTTGGGGCTTCAAGGCCATAGGAAGAGCCTCAACCTGCATGTTTGGTGTGAGCCTTAACAAGAAAAATAAAATAAAATAATATAATTTTTTTAATGAGATAGATATTTAAACGCTATTTCATTCTATGGACATTTCAATAGTATTTTTGCTGGATTCACATTTCCTGTACTGTAGACTAATCCAAAAAGAAATTCCAACTATGAAGATTTTTATGGAGTATTTCAGCTGCAGTTTCTTTTAGATGCCCCACACCAGCTCTTACACACATAGACACCTCCCTTTAAACATTTAGAGCAAAGACATTTTTGATTTGTTGATATATGATGCACATATGGACAGATACATAGAGGTTTCAGAGGTTACAACATCCTTGATCCTTGTTAAACAATTCATCTCAGGTTTTACTTTTCAACATGTTTTACTTTAACTGAAAACATACTCAGACACAGTTAGTAGACTTTCTGAAACCGTCAAGGAAATATCATGATGTCCCTAATTTATACACTGCTATTGTGTTAAGAACTGTAAACTAGAACTGGGCAAAAAAATTATGAATTAATTAAAGTCACCATCTAAAATCCACCTATAGGAACGTAAATGTCATTACGAAAAACAAAACGGCAATCGATTTCATATTATTTTGTCTTTAACAGAGCTCTGAAAAAAAATGCATTCCAATTTCTACAATGTTTTTAATACTTTAGTTTGTTTACAAGAACAATTCTGGGAGAGATTTGGACTTGCCTGCAAAACGTCAAAGGAAATGGTCCAACACATTAATCCTCTAAAGATCTACAGTGGTTGCAGCTTTACATAGAGAGCTGCAGGGCAAACTGGGGAAGCATTCTTCTGCCTAGTCGTTAAGCATATCGTTATACAATTTTCAAAAAGTCCAAACATTATCAGCAAAAGAAGAGTTTTTAAAGAAAAACTCAGTTATGCCACGGAGTGCAAAGGCTTACTATAAAATGAAGCTGCTAGGGCTTGACGTGCCATAGCGGCAGCAGATGAAGTGTGTGTCACAATCTGCTGGAGGCCTGAGACCAAAGTGCTGCTCTGTTTAAGCAGATGACAGCACAGCTCTTAGCCTGCAGTGCTTAATGGACTTTTTATGGATCCGTCTTGTGATCGCATGACCCATGGCATCTTGGCCTCTGTAGATCAGAAACATGCCGCAGTCCTCCTCTGGCCGACACGTGTTTTGTGTGTGCAATGCTACAATGCATGCAGCTATTTTTCCAGCTTTTAAACAATTGTATAAAAAGCTTCTATAATCACTCTTATTGTAGACAAACACGATTGAGGTACCTGTCTGAAGGAGTGTGGGGCAACATATTCACTATTAAAAATGTTCATCTTAAATGCAAACATTTAGGATAAAATACAGGCAATATGCATTTTTAGTAATAGTTCAGTCCCATTCTTTGCAATAATAAAAGTAATAAGTTCATTTAAAATGATTAATAAAATAGAAGTCCAATGTTTATTTTATTTGAAAAAAGAAAATCCTTATAAAAACTTTCCTTAATTCCAATATTTTCATTTAATGAGAAAAACAGGGAAAAAGGAGAAACATTTTTTGATACAAGCTCAAGGCTGAGTAATTTGTGTTTATTCTCCAAAAGGACAATACTTTCAAAAGTAACAAATCGAACGTGAACAGAAAAACCTAATGTTAAAACACGATAAATATGTAGCGACTAGAATCAAGCTGTAGTTGTTCAGCCTTCACAGAGTAATAAAGTAAAAAGTTTTCAGATGTTCCTTTGCATGGAAATGACAATTCACATGAGACCATAACAGAAAGGAGTGTCTCATACAAAAAAAGGCTTAATCATAGATGAAATTTAGCTCCCGACATTACAGAAGTGCTCAAGTTACCCATCGCTGTGCTGAGGCTCTCTAGAGCTTAATGTTTTCCTAACTTTGGGCCAAATAAAGTCTCTGTGTCAAAATACACCCTAACTACCTGCTAAGTTAGTGCTGTGCAGGGCGAGGCACATGGCAACGTTGTGGACGGGAAGGGGAAAGCTAATGCTACTGGCCCTCCTCCTCACGCAGGAACTGGAACACAGAGGAGAAGTCTTTATTGGCGTAACCGCGTGCACACATCATACGGTAGATCTGATGGGCTAAGGAGCCGAGCGGCACAGGAGTCCTGGTGTTGGTGGCCGTGTTCTGTGCCAAGCCCAAATCCTTAGAAAGAAAAAAAAGAAATGTAAACA